GTGGATTAAAGAGTCAAAATGTCTCTGGTCTTAATAAATGATGCTGGGGAAACTGGCTTTTCTCATGCTGAAAATAGAGCCTAGATTTGTATTACTTACCATGCCCTAAACTAAAATTAAAAAAGATTCAAGATGTAAATAAAAAAAGAGAACCAGTCAGCTGGAAGATAGAATAGGTAAAACTCTGGAATACACAGGTATAAGCAACAACTACATAAATAAAACCTCAATTACAGAGGAAATGTGAAACACAGCTGGAATTTCATCAAATTGAAAAGCTTTTGCACAGCAAAAGAAACCACCAAAAGGGAGAAGAGACAACCCACAGAACGGAAAATTTTTTACCATGTACTCCTCAGAAAAAGGACTAATATCTAGAATATATAAAAAACATAAAGATCAGACTGGCCCAATTTAAAAGACCCAACCCAAAAAATGGACATCTGAAATGAATAGACATTTCTCAGAATAACAAACACAAACAGCAAATAAATATATGAAAAGCTGTTGAACCTAACTGGTCATTCAAGAAAAGCAAATAAAGACAACACTGAGATTCCAATAACAAACACCAACAATACCTGGGGAAAAAGGAATTCTTTTCCTTTTTGATGAAATGTAAACTGATACAACCACTATGGAAATCACTAAGGAGCTTCCTTAAGAAACTGAAAGTAGAGGTTTCATTTGACCTACTGTTCCCTTTCCAGGTACCTTCTCAAAAGAGTTAAAAGTAATACTGTACACCAATGTTTATAGTAGTACACTTTGTAATAGCTAAATCTTGGAAACAGCCCAGTTTCCCATCAGTGGATAAGTGAATAAAGAAAATGTGGTATTTGTATACAATGGAGTACTCCTCTACCCCCAAAAAATAAACGACTCATTTGTAGGAAAATGGATGGATCTCAAGACCATAATTCTAAGTGAAATAAATGAGACACACAAGTTTAAACAGCATTGTTCCTCTTCTGTGAGAAACCCAAAGTGTACATAGGGAATATAACAGAGGATAGGTACTGGGAATCAGGAATATGTTCAAGTGGAAAAGGGAACAAGGGAGGGAAGGGAAAGGGGAAAAAGGAGAATGAAAGGGAAGATGTGAATAAAGCTTTTGTAAATGGCGATGGGAGGAGAGGTAGAGGGTGGAGAGGGTACAGTGGGGAAAACATCAAGATATATTATGTGTGGAGGGGGGGAGAACATGGCGGACAGACAACAGCAACTACCGGAGGCTCTCTGAAAGGCTCGGCTCAGAGGCCAGGAATGATGCGGACTAAGGAGACACGAACCGGTAGAGATATGCTCTGCTGACTCAGGAACGAACTGGGCTGAGAGAAACCAACTTAGAATACAGTCCTGGCGCTAAAATAGGAACAGAAAAGACTCGGTGTGGAGGCTCGACCCTGCGCAATTAGAAACCGCGATTTGGGTTTCCCGCCGCCCGGCGGCTGGCTGCCTCCACAAGCGGCTCGGCAAGGAGGGACGCGCAGAAGCTCTGGGAACGGGAGTCTGCGAATGAGTCGAAAACAGGACGGACAAGGAGGCGTACACGAAAACTGACTGGTGGCGAGGTGAGTGAGAGAAACTGACCCCCTACCACAGTTTGACTCCAGCGGAGGACTTTCTGGGCTCGGGCAGTCCTGTAAGAGCAGGGCGCGGTGGCGACTCCAGCCACACATTCCCCTCTCGGACAGGATTGGTGAAAAGTGCCTGGCCTGCGTGACGCTGCGGGCGGACTTGGTAGGCTGGCCTAACCCAGATCCCAGAGCCTGACGGTGGCCTGGAGGGGCGACTGACTCCCGCATAGGCTGCCTCCTCCGCAACTCCCTCGTGCGCAGCGGTGGGCGGGAACATCTAGCCAGCGCAATTTGATCAGGCTGTGGCTGACAGGCAGGGAAGCCGGGCCTCCTATGTAAGCTTGCATTTTATAAGGAACAGAGAATATGGGGAAGGGAAGCAACAAGAAAGGCTCCTCGGCCCCCAATTCTGAGAAACAGGCAATAGTGGACACCGCACCAATATACATTAAGCGCCATATAGAGAGCCTCATAGACCAATTCAGGAATGAAGTTATCAACGACCTGAAGCTAGAAGTATGCAGAATAGTTAGAGAAATGCTAAGCACCACCCAGGAAAAAACAGATGGTGGAATGGAAGAACAGAAAAAGAGGGCAGAATTGCTTGATGGAGAAAACAGAGAAAGCATTGAGTATGTGAAGCAGGTTCAAAGGGACTATCAAGAAATTAAGAAGTCTATCCAAGACTGGCATAACAGCTTGAAAGAAACTAAGGACAGACTATCTGATCTGGAGGGCAGACTTGTAATATGGGAGAATGAAATGAAAAACTTCTTAAAAATAACAAAGAAACAAATACAAATAATACAAAGACAAGAAGATGATAAGAGGAGCCATAACTTAAGGATTAAGAACATAAAAGAAGAAGTAGGGACACAAACAAGTAAACTACAAAAGCTACTCACAGAAATAATCCAGGAGAATTTTCCTAATTTAGCAAAAGGTAAAGATACTCAGATGTACGAGGCATACAGGACCCCAGCTACCTACAACCCTAACAGAGAAACACCCAGGCATATAATAATAAAAATTCCAGAAATTCAATACAAGAACAGAATATTAAAAGCTGTAAGAGACAAGAAACAGACCACTTACAAGGGAACACCCATCAGAATTACAGCAGATTTCTCTGCACAAACCATCAAATCACGAAGAGCATGGGGGGAAATAATTCAAGCTTTGAAAAATAATAATCTCCAGCCAAGATTGAGAAATCCTGCACAACTGTCCCTGGAAATTGATGGAAAAACAAGGTACTTCCAGGATAAAGAGGAACTGGGGGAATTTGCAACCACTAATTCAACCCTACAGAAAGTATTGCAGGATATTCTAAAAAAAGAAAAATACAAAGAACCCAGAAATAGTGGCGGGGAGGCCACAACGAATGGAGCAGAGAACAAAATGAAGAAGACAAACTGACAGCTACTGACAGAAAAAGAGCTCAACAGAAATGAGACAGAGAAGATTGGATGATAGGAACAGCTATTTTGGAGAAAATGACATCTTAATAGGTAATACTGATTTAGTACCATCTTGTTTTGAAGTCTCATCTAGCTTTTGTTCTTCTGTCTCCAATGGTCTAAACAGGTTGTATCTTATTGGATTTTATTATGTACGATAATATAAGCAAAAACCTTTTAAAGACAAGGAGATTATACAGAAACCATTGTTCATTTTCTGTTAGTCGATTCTAAATACTCTGTAATGCTGTCATTCTCTTAAATGGTTTTACATTGTTTTGATATACTTAATGCTACAATATACGAAGTTGTACTCAAGGACTTCAAGGAAAGAGTCAATATGGTAACTACTTTTGGGTCGGAATTATCTGGTGGTGAAACACTATTCTGCTTAAATGGTTATGTTTTGATCTGCCCTGTTTTGCTGTTATGCCCTCTTTTTTCTCAATCTCCACTCCATTATTTACTTTTTTATTTTTATCCGTTTAATTAAAGGGGAAAAAAATAGCAGGATATAATATAGTAACCCACTTTGACTTTCTATTATCTCGATTTGAAGCCCTGTATTACTCTCACCATCTTGTTTTTGAGTGATGTTCCCCTATTCTGTTTTGCTGGATAGTATCAGGTTCGAAAGTTTAGGCATCAGCTGAGAAGATAATGAGATTCATTATAACACCCATTCTCGTTGACTTTTATCTACTTTTGAAGACCTACAATGTCTCCAATGTTTTGGTTTTGTCGGTTTTGTTCTTTACGGTTTTGTTCAATTGTATTACAACTAATGATATAGGCAATTCTATTAGAGATAGCAGGAGGCATTATGGTAACCATTGTTGATCACCTTGTATTATGTTTTTATATTATCTATTATGTCCACCCTTTTGACTTGACCGATTCTGTTCTGTTATGTCACATTTGGTTTTACTCTCTTCCAAAAAAGCAATAAGAACTGTGGGAGCAATGAAACCCAAAATGTGTAATAGTCATTGTACAAAAGAGAGGAAAAGAAAGTGCTCTAAACTATATAACTGCATGTATATTTAAGTGTATAAGATAGAAAATGATATCACAGAGTTTTATTGGATCATTGAACAGAACTGTTTGCAGTATCATTGTTGGAATGTCCACTCTACAAGCTTTAATTTTGTGACTTGAACAATTATTTCTAAGATGGCAATATGTAATCCATTAACTAGTGATTTCCTACTGCACATTTTTTTCTTCTGTAAATCTGTATAACTTGTACCCTTTCTCTGCTTTTTTTTTCTTTTCTCCTTAAATTAAAAAAAAAAAAAAGATATATTATGTGTAAGTACAAACTTCTTATGATGAATGTGGTCAGTACACATAACAGATACATTCTAATTTTAAGTAAAGTTAAAAAATATCTGTCTAAAAGATGTGGCAAAATATGTGAATCATAAATACTATGATAACGAGAAGGTTTAGGGATATGAATCTAAAGAACCAGGGTCTAAGGATTTCACAACCACTGTTAACAGCAGCATCAAATCCGTCATGAAGCACATCTAACAGGGCTACTCTTCTAAAATTTATGATATGCTGGTGACATAGACAATCTAAGAGCCCTGGTTAACTATGTTTGGTATAGTGTTTGGTTAATATTTTTTTCAGCTAAGTTCGTTAAAACTTATCTTTTTTTGAGTTCTGACTTTTTGAGACACAGTCCTACTCTGTAGTTCAGGCTGATGTTGAACTCACTATGAAGCCCAGGCTAGCCTCAAATTTGTGGTAATCTTCCTGCATCAGCCTCCCAAGTCTGGGATTAGGGGCATGCACCACCACACCCAGCTGAAATTGTATGCTGACTTAAATTTTCATAGAAGAATGTATTGATTAAGTGACTAAATCTCTATGACTTATGGGATGGGAAAAATTGCATTTGATAAAATGGATCAAAACACCTTTGTTGCCAAATTGCCCAGAAGCTGAATACCTGCTTGGAAAGCACCTTCATGTGGCCTACACTTCCTCGACAGTAGGCTTCGAGGATGACGCCAAATTGCACCGAGACTGCGGGAACATGCATTTCTGACCTGCGGGAGGTAGTAACGGTTTATCAGCATTTCAGATCACCAAACAAAACACTGACTCCCTTATTCTACTGAAAATAACCTTACTATGTCAAACAAAAGATCGAATCCCATCTTCTTACGCATGATTTTTAGTGAGATGACCAACTTTCCAATTTAACTTCAAAACATTGCAACTTCTTTATTCCAAAAAATCTGAAATTTTTATTTCTTACCTGATTTTCTTTTTGGAGCACAAAAGTAATTTTACTAGTTTATAAAGACAGCTAAGCTGAAACAGAAATTTATGAAATTTGACTGGCATTGTGCAGGTGACAAATGCCTCAGTTGGCTTCTATTCAATTTCTTCCTTACTTAACAATAGTATACATACAACAGTATACATATTTGGGGAAAAAAATGCAAAAAAGAATGCATTATTGTGTTGTTCCTGAGGAGGTTAAAAATAAGATTGAATGGGATGAGAAAAGAAGACAAGCTACAATTGAGGAAAAAAACAGCTGGGCAGGGTGGTGTGTACTTAAAATTAATGGTGGGGACATCCCAGCTACTCAGGAATCTGATTCAAGAGATTACAATGTGGAGCACAACCTAGGCAGCTTGGTGAGCCCCTATCTCATGAAAATATCAAGGGGTTAGGGTGTAGCTCAGTGATAGAGCACCTGCTTAGCATGCTTAAGGCCCTGGGTTCAATCTGCAAAAACAGAAAAACAAGCAACCAAACAAATAAGAGAAGAGAAGAGAAGAAAAATCTAGCAATAACAAAACCCAAATCCAGAAATGAAAAACCTAAAATTAAAAGCATAACAATACAGAAGTCATATTAATTCCTCTAAGAAGTTTTAGTTTGGAAGAAAGGAAGGGAGAAAGGGAGGAAGGGAGGGGAGGAGGGGGGAGGGAGGGGTGGCTTTTGTTTTTGTTTTTGATCAATGTAGGTTTCAACAGACTAAAATTCAGGTTAAAAAAGATGTCCCAGACCAAAGTCAAAAATGAGGAATCTACAATATTCCTAGAAAACAAAAGAGTAACTTAGTTCTCATTCTGATTTTACTCTTGTATGAACCTAGTAAAATAAGGTTTATGCTCCAAAAATGATCTAGTTGATAAAGAAAACTGAAAAAGAATTTTACAGTAAACCACTTTACCTTCCTCAGCAAGAGCAGCCTTACTATTAATACCATCCACAGCCATCTGAGGGACAAGTCTACATTTAGCTCAGCTGTGTTAAAATAGTAATTACCTTTTATTAGAAAATATATACGAAGTATTAGTTTCAGTTAAAAAAAAAAAAAATCAAGCAGGCATGGAATAACACTTTACCTGAACTGCTTTACCAAATCATGAAAATCAATGGTTTGGGTATCAATAAATGGAAGACAACCAAAACCAAATAAATTATACAGATAGCTTGGAAACAACTAAAGCAGCTAACTATTACACTGTCTTACACTGCACTGGATAATATTTACTATAAATAGTACATGTATAGTAACAAACAAAGCAAACTTACCTGAGATGCCAAAACAGAAACTGCCCTATCCTCCGATTAGCGAGCGCTCTTTCTAACAGAAATCTAGAAAGTGCACAATCAAGAAAAGGTTCGTATTTTAAAACTTGGACCAGTTGTAAAAGATATTGTGAGAGTTCTTCATCACTGAAAGAAACAAAAGACAGAGTAACTCAATTACTAGTGCCAGGAAAATAAAATCCCTCCCTACAAAACTATTAAATGGTAATTTACTGAAACACATGAATCCTGGAGGCCACATTTGTTACATGCTGATACTCACCATGCCAATGTAACAACATCACAACAGAACCTGAGATTACAGATGGGTCAACGAGGAGTAGAGGAAATGAAAGGATAGGTACCCAGGACACTTTTTTCAAATGAATTAGACTATTACAATTGATAGTTATATTTATAATCAGTTAAGAGTTACCAATACTTGGCTGCCTTAACACTTCTGATTATGCTCTTAAGTCTTTAGTCAAGCAATCATTTTTAAAACAAGAATTTCACCAGTACTGTAAATCAGCAATGTATCTTCCTTTGCAATTGTTAGGATTAAGTAATTCCTTCTTCCACATCATTGAATAATTAAAAATCACCTTTGAAAAGTCTGGATGATAAGACTTTTGTAAGTGGGCATTATACTGATTCACTGAATTACTATGAGAATACTGTGACTAATTGGGCTGAATTAATTCAGGTTAGTGGTTCTCTATTTTGTGTCCTATTCCCAAATCATTCACTATAAACACACACCTGTCAGAGAGAACTCTTGCAGCAATAAACATATGAATCCTCTGCTTGCTGTCTACAGTCTTGGACAACAAATGAGTAAGGCACTAGGCCAAAGCACAATTGAGACTTAAACCCAGAATATTAAATAGAAAAAACAAAATTCAAAGCAATAAAACTTAACAGAGGAAATATACCAGAATTAGCTATGTGAGGAACATGGGGATCAGTGCATTAAAGAAAAATACTTGGCTTGGTTCAAGGGGTACCAGGTAGCTTCTCCCCATCAGGTCTCCAGTGCAAACTTAGAATGGGAGCTTTATTTTTTAATTTTAACTTCCTATACCAGAATCTTAATTAGTTTTATTGTAAAATTTACACCTATTATAAAAGCTGTAAACAGCAGAAAAACAAAAATTAAACATATAAGTGGAAGAAAGCTTTTTCTCACACATCTAATTTTATTGCTCAAAAATAACCACTAGGGTAATTTATTTTGGATATCACTTAAAAAGAACAGAAAGGGATCACAGCATTCATACCATTCTGAGACTTTTGTTTTACAATAACTACACAATATGTAATCTTTTCATTTTAACTAGAATATAGCTAAATCTGAATACCTCTAAGCACATGTGCCAGGCACAGTGTCACGTACCGAAGCACCAGCTACCCAAGAGGCTGCGACATGAAAATTGTTTGAGCCCAGGAGTTTCACCGTCAGCCTGGGAAATATAGAAAGACCCCATCTCATTGCTTCTAGGAAGAGAAGTAGTAATCAAGACTACTATGAGGACTTCAACTTTAATGCTTTGCCTAAATATGTATTTTTTAAAAATTACCATGACAAAATATTAATACTTCTTAATTTGAGAAACAGACTACATGTGAAAAAGAGTTAACACAGCAGTGTTAGCTGCTACTGTTCAAAAAGTCTGTTTACAGGGCTGGCCTGTGTTTGGTTTTGGGGAGCTAAGATTTCAAAAGGGTTTCTACTACCCTAATTGATAAAAAAGGCTGACTGCACCTAAACTGTACCAATGGTATGGCTGCACACCCAGGTTCCTTAGGGGAATCCAGAAATGTGGTTCATGTTAGATGGAGGGGAAGAATGTGACCAGTATCCAGTGAAAAGTCCTGGCCACCAAGCTCACACAGCTTCCTTTGACCTTTTCTTTCTTATGACACATTCAAATGAACAACTCCTTCCCTACTCATCCCCAAGTTATTCCTCGCCCCAAAGAAAGCCACCTGCAGTAGATACCTCATCTGACGTAGGCAGCCTACAGCGTATTCCCGCACGTACTGGTCTGGATAGTTGAAGTCAAGAAGCTCCAGGGCTTCCCTCGGGGACAGTTTAGGCCAAATCTGAAGCAGTGCTTGAAGCTGTTTGAAAATTGAAACTGGTTCAGGAATGATGGAGGACAAAAGGAATTTATTTTTCCTTCGTAGAAAGAAGTATAGATATGGGCTCAAAGAAAGGCAAAACATACTTTCAATAATTGATTCCTAAAAATTTCATTCTGGTTAATACGGACTAACAGATAATTTACCTTTGTTGCTGGACTATTCTGTAGACAAGTAAAACCAGCTATTACATACTTTTATGACATAGAGTAAGACACTGAGTATGTGGATTCTAGAATTATTAGTCATTACATACAGTATCATAATCATTCTTAAAAATGATCAAGAAATACTTAAGGGTAAATTAAAAGAATAAATATAAGCTGCAAGGTCAAGCTAATAAGCAGCAATTAATATTTAAGAAGTTCACTAGTAACATAAAGCTAAAGACAAGTTTACTTGTGGTTGCTTTTTATTTTATTTTATTGATTGTCTTTTTGAGACAGGGTCACACTGTGCAGTTCAGGCTTGCCTAGAGCTCACTTTGTAATAGAGGTTGGTTTTGAACATGCAACCTTGCATCAGCCTTCCCCGTACTGGAATTACAAGCATGTGCCACCATGCTAATTTTTTAAGAATATCACTTTACTGAACTTTTTATTGTTCATAATATGTTTCAATTCCTCACAATAAGTAACCCACAAGAAATAAATAGTGCTTGGTTTATTTTTTATACAACCAATCTCCTATTCAAAGATGGTAACTAGAAGTGATGTGGGCACAGGGTAGCAGAGAATCCTTGGCTGGGCATGCGCTATAATTCTAAGTGGAAAAGGATCAGTACAATATAGCCACATCTTTGGAAATCCCCTGTTCTGAGGAACCCAAATATCCTAGAGAGGACTCTTAACTGCCTGCCATTAGAGCACTGTGAAACTCTTTGGGTTGTTTCTGATAGAAGGTCCCTTCTTCCATGTGGTTTTGATGTTTGTATCATGTGCTCTTCTAGCATATAACTGGAAGAAAACTGGTTATGGGGAAAGAGGGAAACTGATTTGCGGACCTCCCAGAGCTCAACCCTATCTGAAAAATCTTATTCCTTAGTGTTTCATTTCTGTCACTGGATTTTCATAGGTGTCACACTAAATACCTCTGGTATCAGTATCATGGATGATATACAAAATGTATCCAAGATCAACACCTCAAAACTATAGCAACTAGACTCTGATGATTAGAGGACTTTATATCCACAAAATGCTTGATCTTTAAGTCACATTGTGAGAGACAGCCCCTGTAAATCCTTTTTGTCTGTCTGGTAGATGTTTGTCTATGCTTTGTTTTCTGTTAGTGGGCAGTAAAAATTAAATAAAAACACAAAATACTTTATTTAATTCTATAAGCTGATCAGCTCATCATTAATTATATTAAGATATTCTCTAACAAGTTCATAATATCTAATTTAAGTTCTAGCAGCTAAATTAAAAATTTTTTTCTCATATTAAATAAAGGTAAAAATTAAGTCCACTAAAGATAATTTTTACAAAATTAATTTTTCAACTGTTATTTGTGAGAAAACAATACTTTGAATGATTTTTAAAAACCTGAACACTACTATTGACATATATTTACATAAATTATTAATTAGAGCCTGTGTGGTGACCCAGACCTACAATCCCAGCACTTAGGAGGCTGACGCAGGAAAACTGCCATGAGTTCAAGGCCAGCCTAAACTACTAGGGAGATACTGTCTCAAAAAAACAAAACAGAATCCCTTTCTCTCATATATTTATATACATATATATATATATATTTCATTTTCCACAAATACAGTGAAATGTTTTAAAATTTTAACTTTAAATTTTCATCTATTCTTAGCCCCTTATTGAATAGAAAGAGTAAGCTTTATACTTGTTCTTTTCTGTGTACAAATTACAGATAAACATATAGTAAAGAAGCAGACATACAATATTGCTATGGTATCAAAATCTCATGGTACAAAACTAAATTAGGGAAAACATGGACTAAAAAGTTTGAGAGATACTGGCTCAGAGACATGAAACAGCATAGTACTAGACACAGATCAATGGGACAGAGAGCCTAGAAGTAAACTCACATATCTACAGGAGACTTTTATGTTAAGTCAGCCATGCAACAGAAAGACAAGTGCTGTAAGATTCCATGCATGTGTGGAATAGGTTGAGAGTAGAATGGTGGCTACCAGAAGCTGAAGACAGGAAATAAGATGGCAGGGACAGGAAAAAGCTGGTCAATAGCTACTAAGTTATAGTTAGACAGAAGTAAGTTCTGGTGTGCTACTGCACAACAGTGAGACTTATAGGTAATGATAATACATCATATATTTCAAAACCTTGAAAGACTTGTAGTGTTCTCACCATAAACAATGACTGTGAAAGGAAAAAGATATTTGCCCTGATTTAAACATCATACAACATGGACACAGTACAGTAGTACTATACACGGACATCACACAATACCCCATAGGTGTGTGTAATTTTTGATTTTATCAAATACAGAGCTTTGATTTTAAAATACAGAGCTGGGGATGCAGCTCAGTGGCAGAGTGCTTGCTGAGCATGCACAAGGCCCTAAGTTCAACCCTCAATACCACAAGCAAGCAAACAAACCAAACAAAAACCAATTTAACTTAAATTTTTAGAAAAGATATAGATACTTATTACCAGTTTTTCTGACTAATGAGAAACCCCCTACTTTCTTCTTTAGATACTAACAATATACCAAATCTTTATTATAGACTAATGAGTTACAGAGGCACTATTTCCTAAAGGACTGAAACAACAGGAAAAAGTTCTTAGCATTCCCAGTTAACTTTTGGACTCCACAAACGATCCTGAAAAGCTTATATAACATTCTAACAATACTAGACATTCAGATATGTCATGAGTAAAAACAACCCTACCATTCGAAAGTACACGTAATTATTTTTGGTAAGATATTATTTATAATTAAAATTAAATATAGTTATTTAAACCTAAATTATATAGCAATCTCAGCATTCAGGAGGCTGAGGAAAGAGGATTCTACAAGTTCAAGGTCAGCCTGAACCATCTCAGAACCCAGCAAATGGTTGATTTAAAAGACTTAACAATTATCTCTTACCCCAAGATCTTATCTCTAACATGTCTTCATATTACTTTACATTACACGTGTTTGTTTACTAATTAACCAAACCAAATCTAACAATAAGAGCTTATTAAAACCATTAATAAAATAAAGATCAGTGAAAAATACTTTTATCTCTTATACAAATGTCTATCCTAAAACGAGCATGTCAATTATCTTTAGTGAAGGACCAGGGATTTAGTTTAGTGGTAAAAGCGCCTGCGTCTGCTTTGTAAGCACGTGGTCATGAGTTTGATCCCCCAGCACCAAGAAAGAAAAAAAAAGAAAATTTGGGCTGGGGATTTAGCTCAGTGGCATAAGCATCTGTCTTGCAAGTGCGCAGTCGTGAGTTCGATCCCCAGTACCAAAAAAAAATTATCTTTAGTGAAAGATAAGGCAAATCTACTCAGTAAATAGAATTTTTAAACCTCCCTTATCCATTATACAGAGGAAGAATTTAAATCCTCAAAACTTTTCCTGGAGAAAATTGTCCAATATATGAAATATACCTACAAGCAAGACACTTTACATAAAAATTAACTAAATAACATATGTACCCAAAGGAAATGATCTTTACAGAAATGATCTTTTGTTACCTGAGCAACATCTTCAAGTTTATTCCACTTGATTGACAGAAGTAATTTTGGCAGTGACTGTGGGAAATTCTCTCTGCAGTCTTGTCGCAAAGTCCAAATAAGATCCATTTCATTTTCACACAGCTGAGACAAAGGATCCCTGTCCAAGATTTCTTTCAGTACAGGAAGAAACTTTTTTCCACCTCGACTCTAAGAAAATAAGATACTCATTATAGAATTTAATGGTGCAAACATTCAGCAAATTTATATGTAATAGATTCATATATAATTAAAAGCTTTACCATGTGACATACAAAAATACAAATCCCTAAGAATATTATAAGAATATTAATGAGGTATCCTATTTAAAAGTTTTCACTTCTCAGTATTTAATTTCTAAGATGGATGAACAAAAAGAGCTTTTAACTTTTTTTTTATTAGTACATGTTTGCAGTATACAATGCTTCCATTTCTTGTGTGGAGTTGATCCATGTACATAACACATCCCAAATCCCCTTTCCCACCCTCTATCTCTCGATCCTCTTCCTATTTGAGAAAGATCTATCTCCCTGCTTCCTACCATCTATCTTTTATTCTGTTCATTCTTTTTTTTTTCTTTTTTGTCTTTTTCATTTTTATCGGTACCGGGGATCGAACTCAGGACTGCCTGCTTGCAAGGCAGGTGCTTATGCCGCTGAGCTAAATCTCCAGCCTCCTATTCTGTTCATTCTTAAAACAGTTCTAAAACTGGAAAACATATTTTTTAAACATAAAATCCATGTTTAAACACCAGGTGGCAGTGGTGCTTTGGGCCTAAAAAAGTCCTTTACTGTTTGCACTGAAGTCCTTTAATTTTTAATTATTATAAACAAACAATCCTACGATGACCCAAACACATAAGGTTAAAACACTAGGTACCCTCCTGGCTCAAAAGCTTAAGCTCTCTTTAGATTGAGAACTCTTTGTGTTACTGGGGAAAGAGGTAAATGCAGTTCATGACCACAAGACCAAACCATCCCAAAATCAAAACTGTGTGTTGGCTAAAATCAAACCTGAAAAAATTACAATTATCACAATTTCCTTCCTAATCTCTATAGGATTACACTAAAGTAAAATAGATAGGGAAGATAAGGCAGAAAGACCACGTTAGCTCACGAGTTTGAAAGAACCTGTTTAACACAGTGAGGAGATGAGAGAGGAAGAAGGAGAAGAGGAGAAGAAAGAGGAAGAGGAAAGTGGAGGAAGACATGAAAGAAAACAAAACAGAGAAAGATGAAGAACAGGAAGCACAAAAAGGAAGAAGGATGAAGAATGCATGTAATTCCAGCACTCTGTGAAGCTAAACAGAGATGAGTCACAAATTTGGGCACTTAGTGAGACTGTGTTTGTAAATAAGTAAGTGTGTGTGTAGTGTATTTTTGAAACAGATGGTGTTACTCTTGTATGAGGGACCTAGAGGATGTAATATATCACAGAAAAATCACTACACTGCCAGCCCGTGGAAAAAAATTTAAAAATTCATGCGTAGCAATCTCAACGACCATGCAGCAGTTCATTGCACAAATAAATGTCTGGAAGCCAACGACCACCACTGTAATTACCTCTTGTAATTATACAGGCCAATGGTAATTTGTATTAATCTCAGGATGTCTCAAAGAGCTTAGTATAAAGGCCATGGGTTCAATCTCCAGTACCACACGTATATGTACACATTCGTTATTAAGGAAGTCAACCTGCTCTTGACACAGGAAAGCACAACTGTCTTCATTTTTCTCATCCAAAAGCCTATGTTTTTTAAAACACTAATCTATAATAGCCCTAGGAAGCAAGAGTGCTTAACATACGAATCTTGGAGTGAGAAAATACACACAAGGTATTTTCTCCCTGACTACAGATCAGACCTAAGACTCATGTAGCAGTGAGAATGTTATGCATACAAATCTGTGTGAGCTCCAATTCAGAATTAAGGGTTCAAGAAGTGAGAACACAGGTGGCTCACTAAGGGAGCTGCAGGCAGAGCAGTTGCCATGGTCAAGTATGCCCCTTCCTATGCTTGTGCTGAGCCAGGACGGTGATAGGATCAGCTCCAGAATGAGCACAGAAACTAAGCCCCAGGATGTATGGACTCTACCTGTAAAAGACTTAAAGGCTTAAAGAGTTATTGGAGACACACTATAGTGAAAACGAAGGCATGCGGGAGTGTCAAATATAACAAGTGCTAATATAAAAATCACTGCAGTTAAGAAAAACGAAGCAATAGAAGCTGCCAAAGACCCTATTAGAAAACTAAAGCTATTTCTTCAAGGAGAACAAACATGACAGTGAAGAAGAAACAATCTAATAGTTTTTAAAATTGCTGAAGAGAGAAAGAGAGGCAGAGACAGAGACAAAAAGAGACAGAGAAGAAGGGGGTAAAACTGGGTGAGATGATACATGTATGTATAATCCAAGCACTATGGCTGATACAGGAGGATCACAAGTTGGAATCCAGCCCAGGTAATCTGGCTACTTAGTGAGACCTTGATGCAAAATGAAAAACTGAAAGAGAGCTGGGAATATAGATAGCTCATTGTGAGGGTATCACTAAAGATTTTAAAAGTAGATTTATTTAATGAAACAAAACAACTGTATTGTAAGTATACACTTACCAACTTGTCAGATAATTATAAACCAGATAATTATAGTTTAAGTCCATTGTTACCTTCATATTACTTTGTTATGAAATTTTTGCCTTTTAAAAATTAAAAAAAAAGTTAATTCTCTTGTTATGAAATTTTTTCCCTCTTTAAAAATTACAAAAAATACAGTTTATGTTTAGGAGGCAACAAATATATAGGGATGTATTGATTCTAATGTCTCTATTTGTTAACTGTTAAACTGTATTGCTCCTTGAACTCCAGAGGTATGAATTAATATTCACTGTTTCTGCAATATCCTTACCTAAATCAAAATGCTCCCCAGATACTGCGGATACAGTAAATTTGTCCAGATTTGGTATACTATTTTAAAAAATTAAGCACAAAATATAATTAATAAACAGTAAAGCTAAAAATGAAAGCCTTTGTACAATATCTACATTCTTTTTTCCCCAGAGCTAAACAGTTTGTAATGACCAATACTAAACTTACATATAAATACCAATATCCTGTCCCTCTTTTTAAAAATGACATCATTATGTATATAATTCTTCAGGAAGTTTTTATTTAATGCATTTGGGGATCTTGTCATGTTCGCTTAAGTAGACAGATCTATGTCACTTTTAAAATGCTTTCTTACTATTAGTTGTTATAACGTAAGATATCTCTGATCGATGTTTTGCTTAGTTCTAATTTTTCTCCATTAAAACTATGTGGCAATGACTAGTTTACTTGTATACTTCTTTATACATGTACTTTGTAGGATAGATTTCTAGAGGTAAAATTATTAGATCAAAATATGTATTTTCTTTTTGTTTGTTTTTGAAGCACGGTCTCATATGTAATGCCAGGGAATGAACTCATAACCTCATGCCTACCAGGCAGGCGCTGATGCCACTGATCTAAATTCCCAGCCCTCACTTCATAAGTTCAATTGACCTTGAGCTCACTATGTAGCCCAGGTTGTCCTTTGAGCTCCTCAGTCAACCCTTAGTATGGAAGCAGTGGTGATGACTTAGACTAAGATTCTGAGAGTTCTCACTGCAAAGCAGAAAAGAGCCTAGACCAGAGATTTCTCCAGGTATTTTCCCAAACAGCCACAATTAAATAGTGCTTTTATAATATGAAAATGAGAAAAATACACACATTGCCTTTATTTTTGTTTTCTAACGTCTATGTCATTAATATTTTATAGGTTCAACAGCTTTGCCAAAGACACGTAAAAGTTGTAACCTGATGACAAAAGAAGAGAATACTAGATCTGAATTAAATAGTCTTAAGCTAGAAATAAAAAGTAGAATAAAAATACCCATTTTCTTTTACATTTTTCCATGGTAGTAGATTTCCTATTCTTAATCAAGCACACGCAGTTAAAGACTGGATTTCCTGGTCTCCCCTGTATTTTACTATAGTTATGTGACTAAGACTTGGCTAAGGAGAAATAGAAGAAAGCAAATCTACTAATGGTGTCTCCTTACAAAGATTTGCATATCACCTCTAGTCTTGTTTTGTGTTTCCACTGGCTGTAATATACCAAAGTAGGAAGCTGGGGTAATGATATTAAATCATGGAATGGAAACTACATGTTAAACATGGCAGAGCTCCAAAGTGAAAGACATCTAATGTGATGCTTGTCCTTATTATACCTATTTCATACACAAAAGAAATACAACTTCCTCATTCAACTAAATAATATTCACTAAGAATGTATTGTAAATCTAAAGGGTACTGGGGTGCCAACAGCACCACAGACTGCTGAACCTACATTTGTATCAGAAAGGGGATCAGCAACTCAGCACTATTAACTGAGATGTCACCTGACAAAACAGTAGTATGTGCATACTTACCCTCAGTCACAGACTATTCTTGCCTATGAGTCACAGTCTTCCTTACCATAGGTGAAATGAAAGCACCCAATAGTACACACAACTTTAGTACAAGCAAAGGCATTTAAACATCTTAATACTTACTGATACATTAGCACTGTCACTGCTTGCAATTTCAGCTGCCTTTTCAATAATCTGTTTAAAAAAATTTACAGTTAAATTTTGGCTCTTATTTGTAGAATTTTAAGTATAAATAACTATGCTTGTATTTAAGGCTACAAGAAACTATATATGGTCTGGCATTTCTATGCTGTATAATGAAAACATGAATTTTAAAAGCAATAAAGTACTTCCCTAGTGCTCCAAATCTTTGACAAAAAGTAAACAATGATATTACATAAAAGGCTGCAACTCCTATGGAGCACCAGGATTGCCTGTCAAAAAATAGTGGCTTGTATACGTATGTTAAATTTTTAAAAAAATACATACAGGTAAACAAGCTGGGCAGAGTACAGGCATGTAATCCCAGAACATGAGAATCTAAGGAGGGAAGATCGCTGTAACTTTGAGGCAAGTCTGGGCTATATAACTAGTTCAAGATCAACTTAAACTACATAATGAGACCTAGACTAAAACAAACAAACAAAAACTACAAGGTTGGCATAGTGGCACGTGGCTGCAATCCCAGCTACTAGAAATCTGAGATAGGGAAACTGCCATTTTAAAATTGGCCTGGGTAACCTTTTGTTAAGATAAGTGAGAACCTATTTCAACAACAACAAAATAAATAAGTAAATAAATAGGGATAGAGAAGTGGCTCAGTTGTAGAATACTTGCCTTGCAATATGCAAAGCTTTGGGTTCAATCCACGGGACCAGTAAAAACAAAAACAAAACAGAAAATATATGCAGGTAATTATAGCAACAATCATTAAGTTAAACAAAAAGAATAGGACTTATGGGAATTTTTGGTATTATATCTGTATTCAAAGGAAACTCAATACATGCATATATGAAGACTAACATCTATTTTCAACTGATTTTCAAGCCTGAATTTCCATAAGACTACAAAGGCAATCAGAAAGTTTATTGACCAGATATGAATGACTGCAGCAACAGTAAAATAATAGATTTTTAAAGAAATGTTGTTGACAAATGAGCATGATGGTATATGCCTATAATCTCAGGATATGGGAGGCTGACACAGGAGGATAGCTACAAGTTTGAGGCCAGGCTGGGCTACAGTTTTTCAAAGTCAGTCTGGAATACATACTGAAACTGTATCTCAAAAAACAAAAAAACCTTTTTTTAAAACTTCTCTTAAAACACTAGATTAGAACCACTTATACTTGCATAAGATGCTGCATTTCTTAAAATTTTCTAAAAAGCACTTCATCGTATCCAATGTAAACAATACTGATCACTGAACACATACCATAACTGTACATATTAATACTCATTATATAAAATTAGCACAAGAAGCTGTGACTTAGATAAATTTCTCTCTAAAAGAACCATCACAAAAATATAACAGAAAAGTCAAAATGTAGCATTTTCTATTCAATGTGTATTAGAGTATACATGGTTCTTGCCATACTTGGAACTTTTATTATTTAAAAAAGCACAAAACTTAATTATAAATTATGAGTTAGAAAACTTCTCTAAAGAACTTGAAAAGTTACTTCATAGATGGTAAAATTCAATTAAAGTAAAGATGAAGGAACACTGAGTTACACAGATTATATATGTATCGTACTGTTTAAAATCTCTAGGATTACAATCGACTGGGTGCATAGCATGGGCAAGGCTTTGGGTGTGACCCCAGCAACACCCCCCCCCCCATACACACACATACACCTACACAGCTCTGGTAGTGCTAAACATTAAGATACAATTAAGTCCGTAGGTGAATTAATTAAAATATTTAGTATAATATCAGTATCAATCCTCAATTTTGTTTGTAGTTTTGTTTTGTTGAGATAGGCTCTTACAATATCCTACATAGGACAAGCTAGCCTTGAACCAACAATATAGCTCAGTCTGGTCTCAAACCCATAGCAGTCCTCCTGCTCTGCCTTCTGCATCCTGAAATCACAAGCATGCACCACCACACTTTGGCCTTGATCTTTAAAGGTAATTTGTTCTAAATTTGATTTAAAAGCTTCTTACTTTTTGTTTCTTTTGAGAATTGTTTCAAAGATTTTTACATACAAATTAGTACCTAATATAAGAATGCCAAACTTGAATATAAAAATATGACAATTTAGTTCTGTAAGCCTATAAATTACCACAGCCCTACTTTTTAACCACCAGATTCTTATCCCCAAGACATGCAGTTTATATACTAAGGAAACGCACTTTAAAATGTGAGTCCTTAATATAGTCTACAAAAATACTTCCTTAAAAAGTCCTACTAACAGTACTATCAACATAAAAAACGTGTTCTAGAAATATAAACTAATGCAGCAGTGATTACATCTTTATCTCTGAACCAACAACCTGGGCGGCATGTTTCACTAAATAACTTAAATGTTCATTTACAAATAATTTATAACCTTTTTTACACTGAAAAAAACTCAGAACGATTAGAATTTCCTCACATTTTAAATGAGGAACCTGCACACCAGTGATGTGCACGTCTCACCCTGCTAAGTGACAGTCAGAACTACTAGAGCTTGAAGGCTCTGTGCTCTACGACCTTCCCACTGAACCAAACCGTCAAGGATACACAGTTTACAAAGTGAAACAGACACATGGAATTCAAACTATGTACATAAAAAACTAGTACATAATAATTCAATTATTCCATGTACAGTGGCTTTTTAAATAATTAGCTTACCTTATCAAAGGGAGGGTAATAACAAGGTTGCTTTTTATTCTCTGGAAATTTAATATGCAAAGCTGTTGCATTTTCAATATATGGATTTGTTTGAACAGTTCCCATTGGATTCAACATTTCTTCAAGTTCATCTAAAATATGCAAATAACTTTGATTCTTAAGAAATGTTTTTAAAACGAAGAAAAAAACTGTAATGGATTTCTTCACATGAAAATGACTTAAATATATCATCTACACAACTTCAGCAGACAACGCTACCAATAACGATCTAGTTTTCTGTTCATGGTTGCAATAAAATTTCAGTGTGACTCTGCATTCTTTTTTTAAAACAAAAAAGTTAACAAACATTACGTCTACTTTACCTCATCAAATCTGAGACTTCTCAGGTCTGAGTAAAGTTAAGTGGAACTGCCATTCATCAAAATGAGGAGGCCCATGGCAACTATTACACCTGTACGCAGACTTTGTAATCACATGTAATCTTGTTTTCATGGTCACCAAAGTACACAGACTGATAATCTGAGAGTCCTCAATGACATTCATCTTTGCTGCTACTAGTTAATTACCTTGCAATATCTGACTTACTTTTTCATCTTTCCATCCTTACTTTTTTTCTCTCCCTGAGATAGGGTGTTGCTATGTAGTTCAGGCTGGCCTTGTCCCCACTGTGTAGCCCATGTTGGCCTCAAACTCACAGCAATTCTCCTGCCTCAACCTAATGAGTGCTGAGATTACAGGCATGTACCACCACGGCTGGCTCATAAATACTTCAGCTGGTAGTCTCTATAATACATCTATCAAATCATATTCCTTTTCCTTCTTCAACCACTTTTATTTAGCCAACTTGTCCTTTGTTTCTACCACTCTAAATATCATTCATTCACAAATTTGTGCAGACTCTTAGAAATGCAATGTAATCAGAAAACACTGAAACTTATAATCTTCTAATTTCACAGACAGGAAAACTCAAGATGGAGTTAGGAGTGCAATCTAAGGCCTCCACTCTCTAAAGTAGTATATCTTTTCTTATTTTGATTTTAGAACTATTGTACTCTCTATACATTCTAAAGAAAAAAAAATTTAAGGTTTATTCTGCCTACACCTAATATCCATAAAATACATATACTCAGAATTACTACCCATACTGTCCATAAAGGTTTTGTAAAACCTTCACAAATTCAGATCCTTGAGCCTTTGCTTGTCCAAATTTTTTTCCCTTATCTTACAGATTCAGTTTTTACCTCTGTGGAAGGCCCTCTAATTATTTATATACTTTCAGAGCTCATTTCTCAGTAAGTGAAAAGCCTATACTTACCAGCAGAATTACTCTTATTTGGCCTATCAAATACAACCTATCATAAGTCAAATTAACATTTTTGGAGTGGCCTCAAACAGAGATGTAGTTATGGAAAAACAGGTCATAAGAAGACACTCCTGGGTATACCACAAATTTCATATAATTTTTGTTAGAGAGCAATACATAATTATAAAAATTACCAATGTAATTATTCTCTGACTCAATAAACCCATTTCTGGGGATTTGACTTAGACATATACATGCACATAAACAAAGTTATTTATCATGGTGTTATCTGAATTATCAAAAATAACCTCACTTAAAAAAAAAAAAAAAAAAAAAAAGCAATTCTTGAGCTGTGCATGGCCCTATAGTCAAAGCACTTGGGAGGCTGAAGCAAGATGATTGCCACTGGGGCCAGGGATTTAGCTCAATGGCGCAATCACTTGGTAAAGCATGAGGTCCTGAGTTCGATCCCTGGTACCAAAAAAAAAAAAAAAAAAAAAAAAAAGACTGCCACTGGTTCAAAGCCAGCCTTAAGGTACATAGTGAGTTCAATGCCAGACTAGACCACATAGTGAGTCTCCAATAAAAAGTTATTTATGCAGAAACATAATATAAAAAATTAAGACACAAAACACCATCAGAAAACGCTGTTTTGTGTAAGAATAGAGAAAACAATAGAAAACTATTTATAGTTTCTAGTATACATGAAGAATTCTGGAAAGATACATAAAGAATTCTGGAAAGATACAAAAGAAAACCAATAAATGCAATTATATACTTTGTAATGGTAAACTAGGGACCCTAGATAATAGATTGCTTTGGGTTTTATGTCTTATTTGCGCCTGAGGTAAACATGACAGTTTTACAGCAGACACATGCAAGGTTAAGTGTATCTGCTTAGTATTTTTATCATACATTGTCTTTTATTTTGTGGTAATGGGGGGTAACTAATTTCTTTTGTTTCTGTTTTTGAAATAGGTTCTCACTATGTAGTTCAGGGTGACCTTGAACTCACTATGCAGCCCAGGCTGGCCTTGAACTTGCAGCAATACTCCTAGCCTTGGCCTCCTGAGTGCTGGAATTACAGGTGTGCACCACTATGCCCGGCTTCTATTTTTTAATTTTTATTTTATTTATTTATTTTGTGTGTGTGATGCTGGGGCTCCAACTGAGGGCTAGGAAGAATTCTACCAATGAGCCATGTCCCCTATTTTTAATTTTTGAGACATGGTCTTGGTATGCCAGTAAACTGTCCGGGTTGGGCTTGAACTTGCCATCTTCCTGCCTCAGCCCTTCAGAGTGCTGGAATCACAAGCTTGTGGCACCATGCATGGCTTTTACTGTACTTTTTAAAATCATACATTTCTTTAATTGTACATTTTCTTAAAAGTTGAAGTCAGGTTTAAGGTTTGCCAATGAGTTGTTTGGTGATTCTGGAGAACATGTGTAAGTCTAGCATTAAGAGTTTTAAGACAGGACAGTGCTGAAATGATCTTACGAAAAGATAGTTTTTCTATAAGAAATGTGTCAAGGGCAATCACTTGGGATTCATTTTGTCTGTCTGTCTGTCTGTCTGTCTCTCTGACAGAAGCTTTCTTACTCTCAGTATTTTTGCTCTTAAAAAAAATTAAATGTGTCAAATACACAAATCTCTCCTATATTTGGAAAATAATATAGTTAGGGAACTTCCTGAAAATTTATATAGAGGTGAGAAATAAAAGAAGATGAAACACATAAACATGCATGGTTGTAAGGAGTTCATGTCAATAAATAACATTACTCAAAAATAATACACCAGGAATAACTCAATAAAAGAGCATTTAAAAATGTTTATTGCTAGCAAGATAATTTAAAAATCCAAATAAGCTCAAAATGTTACCAAATAAACTATGATGAGAGGGGAAGAATAAAAGAAGAAAATCGCTATTACAAATGCAAAGTTTACGACAAAAAAGTTTCAATGTTTAGGAAAGCAGTATGGAATAATGAAAAGAGTAGTCGTTTATTCTAATTCTAGGTGTGAAACAGTTATGTAAGATTTACTAACTTATTTCTCTTTAACTTTTCTTTACTCATCAGTTTAAAAAAAGGAAAATAAAACCATCTATCTCATTTGATGCAGTTATGTTAGTATCCAAGAAATACAAGCATGTGGAAGGTACTCTACATAACTTCAAAATTTAAGCTAAAGCCAATTAATGTTCTAAAGGTTTTTTTCCCTTCCCTTTTAGTGAATGTTGTTGTTACCATGAATAATACAAACTGTTTTTAAGAGATTGTTCCTTAGAATGACTTTTAAAAATACTATAAAAGTAAAATGTTTAAAAGCAAGAATACATCTGTGAAATAAAAATATTCAGAAATAAACTGCTTTATGAATGTATTAAAATATTCTATGTAAATGTTTTAGAATAAATAATAAAGACAGTATCAATTATTTACTAAAAATACAAGAATACTGAATCAGAAAGAAGCATTAACTAGTCTACATGTCAAAGGCTACTTACGAAGTATTACAGTATAAATCTTACCAGGAAATGAAGACCAGCTGTGCAATATTATGTCTCCAGACCTCAACTGTCCTTTAAAGTCAAAAACCATGGTATTTACCCATGCTACAGGATAATGCTGTTGAAAAAGACACCATTTCAAAGTTAGTTCTGGAAATTTAAAAAAAGAAAATCAAAACAGGATGTGGAAACATGTTGACCATTTTTATAATAGTTAATGAAACATTACAGGTCAATATATCACAATAAAACAAAATATTCATACAATGGAATATTTGCTATGTAGCCTTTGAAAATGAGAAGAAATTTTAACTTTTCAATAAAATGTGACATACTATGGAGGTATGTTTTAAAAGCTTTCAGGAGGCAATATCTCTATTTAAATAAACAGAATTTTATTTGAATCTCTAAAAAGGAACCACCAAATTATTTGGACTTTTATGTAGATATTTTAACAGATTAATTTGGCTACATTATATTTGAAAAGTTATTAAATATTCTAATGTGAGAAAAAATTCTATATAAGAATTGCCTTATGATTTTTTTTAGTCATTACTACTTTTTAGAAGATAAAAGTATGACAACCAGAGGAAATGCCACATTTCCAAGGAACAAAAGACACAAACCTGTATAGATATAGTAACTAGGCTTTAAAATATAAAAGTCATATATTTACACTACCCAAAAATTACTCACAAAAAGGAAAAACATTTGACTAAAAAATATGAAATGAAAAACTAAAATGTGACAATAGGTACCCTTTATCAAGTATTTCAAAATCCACGAAGCTCTGGAAAAGATTTGCTCATAACTAACGTGACTGCAAAACATGACCAAAGATGACAGGAAGTAGTCAAAGTCTTCATTCACCACAGTTAGTATATTATTTCACACCAAATGCTGATGTGTTTGATTATACATTTGTGTCCTAGAATTCACAAGACACGTTGAGTGAGATATATTTATGCTCTTTCAAAAATACATAGAATTTTGAATTATCAAACAAGTCTGGCACTTGGGATTTTAGATAAGAAACTGCAGCCAAGCAAGGTGGTACATGTCTGTAATCTCAGCATTCAGGAGGCTCAGGCAGGAGGGTTGCTGCTGAGTCAGAGGTCAACCTGAACTGAGATCCTGTCTCAAAAACAAAACAACAAACAAAAAAAGCAAAAAGAAACTGTGGGTCAGTTATTTTAAAATGTTTTCATTCATTTTATCTGTATCTATAAAGTATTACATTGTAAAAGAATACCTACATTAAAAACATGAATAAGACACAGAAATGGAAATAGTCTTCTTGAAATCAATTCTTAGGGACCAACATTACAAAACAAATTACTCAGCTACTTAAAACAGTCTTAAAACCATTTATTTTTATAACAATTTTTAGAAATTAGGATATATAACAATTTTTAGAAATTAGTATACATTACCACTTTTCCAGCTTTCCTGATGGTCTGATATTTAGAGGGATTAATAGTTTTGGTTGATTTCTTTGTTTTTACTTTATCCAGAACTGCATAAACAGCAAAACATAACCGAGCCATTCTTGGCAAGTCACAAGTATTAATATCAAATTCCAGTGTTTCATTCCAAATGTGATCATTCTTCCCTGATATCTCTGAGCTTATGATGGTTTTACACAGAAGCTCAGTACCATGAAAAAGACCAGCCCTGACATGAACCTGTAATGGAGGAGATGAAAACAAAATGAAAACTACCATACACCACTGAAACATCTCTGCTTTGGAAAGTGATGAAATGCATACTTAGAAAACAAGCATACCAACTTTTGCAGAGCCTATTTGTCCACAAGACCTATCAGGCTATAATTAGGCAGTATACTGTCCACTAAACTATGATTACTTTAATTTGCTTTTCACTTAGGGCATAAGCCAGCTACAAAATCACCTACTAGCTTAAAAGCCAGGAATGTCTTCTAGTTGAAACAGTGCTAAAGAAACAACACAAGTCACAAAAAGTACAAGAAGAGTCAGGTACCATGGTACACACCTGTGATTCCAGCACCCAGGAGGTTGAGGGAGGAGGAATATTGCAGGTTCAAGGCCAACCTGGACTACACAGTGAGTTTAAGGCCAGACTGAAATACATAGCAAGACCCTGTGTCTCAAAAAATCAAAATAACAAAACCTCAAAAAACTACTAGTAGAGTTTTAACTGGAGCTTTGTCTTACTGTACAGTATAAATGTAAATAAAAACCTGATGGGTAAGAAGGCACCAATGTTTTTAAAAAAAAAAAAAAAAAAGCTCCATTTCTTTCCACTTCTAAATAATCTGTGAATCTGTCCTGATAAGAGCCAAGAAATTCTGTCCAAATCAATGATTACATGTATTTATGATCATTGTCCTTCATGTTTTATTTTAAAGCCCCACATCCAGGATGATGTAAGGCGAAACTATTTGGTCATCTCTACAGATTTTTTAAATGCCTTAATTATCACTAATTTAAAAGTGAGCACCAAAAGCATAACTAAGAACAGTATAGTACTAAAATACAGAGATTGACCCAATGATATACTTTTAAGATCAAAACTTTTTATATCACTTTATCCAAATATGACATTAGCATACACCATTAACAAGTATTTACATAATAAATAACTTTATGTGGAATTATTTAGGCTTGTCTTTACTTATTTTCTTTTTTGAGACGGTCTTGCTATGTGTTCAAGCCATACTTGAACTCACTATGTACTCCTACGTTGCTCTCAAACTTGAAGTGATCTTCCCCCCCAGCCTCCCCAGTGCTGGGACTGTGTAAACGGCACCAGCACCTCCTTAGCATTTTGTTTCTGTCAATCCATCATGAAATCTGTACAATGGGAAAACAGATTTATGATGTGATCTTAAGTGAATAGAGTAACTCAAAATACTATTAAAAATACTCACTTTGTGATCATATGCACAAAAAATACTAATAAAAGTAATTATTATTAGGATAACAGAAGTACTTTTGATTTGTCATTCCTTAAATAATTTTGACTTTATCTTAAAAATATTCTAAAATTAATATTCTAACAGGTGTCATAAAATGGCAGAATGCCATAAATTAAGACATATATGCAGAAAATGTCAAAATGTCCTCAATCAATCCAAAACATATGACTTCTTGGTATTATTTTAAAAACAACCTTTCAGGAATAACTCATTTCTGTACTGCTTCAGTAAAGTGGTAGAAGGCCTTAAAAAACAAAAAACAAAACAAAAACAGAAACATCTTTTAAGTTTTCCTCCGTGTTACCAGCATGAGTACCTACAGCGTTAAGTAACCTTTACGTAAGTCCATGTCCCTATACACTCATTTTTAGTCTGGGAAGACTATAAGTATTACTCTCTGAACTTTACAGAGATGTTCCCAACTTTCAGGAAATCTTTAAATCTACCTCATATACTATTTTCAAATGATTTAAATATGAGAAACTGACACCAACATTGTTAACAGCCAAGACTGACCCTAAGGTACAAAAGAAGTGACAGAAAGTTGTGTTGTTTTGTTTTGGAGACAGAGTCTTGCTACACTGCCAGGCTGGTTTCAAGTACCTTGACTCAAGTGATCTCCCTGCTTCAGCCTCCTGAGTAGATGGGAATAGACATATGCCACCACACCTGGCTAAAAGGAGCCATCTTAATACACACTTTATTACTCATTTTCCTAGCTTCTTTGCTTTCTAGATAAAAATTAGTGGTTTATCAAACCCACAGAATATTATTTTCTTCAAAGCAAGCAGAAATAGCTAATCATCAGAGTGTTGTCACATTTAGAGAAATCTTCAAAAATAAAATATGCCCCCGCTCCCACTGGGAATAAAGTTCAGTGGCACAAGTGCCTGCCTAGCAGACGCAAGGTCATGAGTTCAATTTCCAGTTACCCCCACACTCTCAAAAAGCACAACATGTCACTGCATTAGGTCCACTTGTTATTAACTTTTAGTCTTTCTGAGACACAGTTCACTGTGCATTTCACTTTTTAGCCCAAGCTGGCTCCGAACAGGCAACAGTCCTCCCATCTCAGGGTCCTGAGTTCTGGGACTGCCAGTGTGCACACCACACACAGCAAAGTTGATTTGTAAAAAATCAGAATATATGAACTTACCTCAGAAAGTTGTGGTGGTGTGTAAATGAAATAAGACACAGAAAACTTTAAGCAAAGCAGCTTAAGATGTACATAAGATGGTAATAAGTGATACTTAATAAAATTATAAAGTAGGAGGAATAGCACAAAGTTATTGCAGTTGCTGTCTCAGATACATAATTTTTCTTTTCCTTCCCAGTAACATGAAAGCACACAACAGATAAGAGTTTATATTTATCAGTGGTTAGAATGGCCCCACCATTGTTATACCAAACATGGTGGCACACGCCTGTAATCCCAGCACTCAAGTGGCTGAGGCAGGAGAATCGTTGTGAGTTCAAGACCAGAATGGGCTACAAAGTGAGCTCAAGACCAGCCTAAATTGCACAGTGAGACCCTGTCTCAAAAAGACAAAAATAAATATAATACAATACAATATAAAACAAATAAAAAAATAGCTAGGGAATCCTAAGTAAAGTGGTATAGGTTTTTGAGTTTCATACAACCGGCAATTGCTCTCTTAGGTCTGAAGAACATCTAAAAAATATCACTGAGTGGTGAGACAAGGGTTTGTATGCCAGAATCCTACTTCTGAATTCCTTGCTTCAAACATTCCCACTTGGTACTTCCTCTGCTTTCCCTCAGCACAGTTACATCCTGAATTCTACTTCTTCATGCCTTCCACGTCCAAATTACTAGTCCTCACATCTCCCTCTCCAATCACTGTATCTTTCAACTCCACAAGAAAATCTGTCCTGATGAAGGCTTTTATTTCAGTAAGCAGCACCCACTCCTTTACTTTCCTAACTGCCCTGTTTGCCTTCACTCTCACCACAACTCTCTCCAAGTGCCATCTCTCCTGTCACACTTACCTAATCCCCACTCTGCCTGCCTGCTTCTTTCTACATGCCAAATGTCTCTGGGAAGACCAGTGCCATGACTGACCAATTCATATGTCAAATTATTATCTCTCTGGTAGAACCATTTCTTATGCTTCACTCATTATTAAAAACTTTTTATTGTCATGTTTTCCATACTGACAACAGGCAACACAGTGTTTTAGAAGAGTTACAATGTTTTTCTTAAAAAGCTTCCAAGTTTCTTATTTTATTCTAAAACCAAAGCACTTGTGCATCATCACTGGTCATTAGAGAAATGCAAATTAAAACCACACTGACATTATATCTCACTCCTGAAAGAATGGCCAGGATCAAGAAAACTACCAACAGCAAATGCTGGAGAGGCTGCGGGAAAAGGAACTCTCCTGCACTGTTGGGAGTGCAGACTGGCAACCACTGTGGAGCTCAGTCTGGAGATTTCTCAAAAAAGCTGGGATTGGAAGTCCCATTGTTTCAGCTATTCCACTTCTAGGCATATTCCCAGAAGAACTGAAAGCATCACACCACAGTGATATATGTGCACCCATGTTTATAGCAGCACAATTTGTAATAGCCAGATCTTGGAAACAACCGAAGTGTCCATCAACTGAGGAATGGATAAAAACGTTGTGGTATTTTTAGAGGATGAAGTACTACTCAGCTATAAAGAATGATCACATTGAGATATTTATAAATAAACGGGCACAGCTTGAGACCATACTCATAAGTGAAATAAACTCACATGTATAAATACTGTACAGTCTCCCTAGTGTAAGAAATGGTAAGAATACATAAAAGTATGTGGTAATCATGATTCCCCATTTTACTGTTTTGAAGCCTTATAATGTTTGCATTCATTAACTGGAATGGTTTTATCCTGGTTTAATTTTATTATCTGTGATAGTACAAACAGCTATTTTGAAGAAAACAAGACTTACTCTGTGGTCTTACTATGCTTTTGTTCCTCTGTTTCCATTGGTTCTATCATATTATATCTTATTGGATATTATTATGTGCGATAGTATAAACAAATTTTCTATGGAAAATGAGATAATATAGTAGCTATTGTTCATTCTCTGTTATTTAGTTCAGAAAGCCCTGTAATGCTTTCATTCTCTTGAATGATTTTATACTGTTTTGTTATGTTGGTATTATTGTATATGAAGTTATGCTCAACTATTTCAAAGAAAGAGACATTCTAGTAGTTACTGTTAATTATGGTTTGTCTTGTGGTAAAATGCTGTGTTGCTTGCATTGTTCTGATCTTATCTGCTTTGTTATGTCCTCTTTTGTCTTAATCTCTTTAAAATAAAAAATAAAAAATAAAACAAAAGCACTAAAGCACTTTCGGGGGCGGCGACATTTTTTATTGCTACTTACTTATGAGATAATTAGCATACCTTCCAATACAAAAAAAATTTCAAACATCCTTCTTCTGGGGTATATATGTATTTTTTAAAAATACATTATATATTTATAGCATATATTATATAATGTATATATAAAATTCATATATAATATATATATTTTTTTAATTTTAATTTAATTTAATTTTGGTACTGGGAATTGAACTCACAACCTTGAGCCTGCTGGGCATGCACTTATGCTGCTGAGCTAAATCCCCGGCTCTACACGTATTTATTTACTTGGGTGTTCCTCTGGATGAAGCTAGGCAAGTGCTTTACCACTGAGTTATATCCTCAGCCTCAAAAG